AAATTTATCCCAAGTGAGGTACCCTAGACCCAGGAGGACAAAGATTGCAGACCCCTTTTAATTTTTGTTTTAAGATGGACTTTCAAATTTCAGAGCTTAGCCTTCAACTCTGTGTAGCCCAGACAGTCCCAGAACGTGTGATCCCTGACTCATCCTCCCTACTAGCTGGGATTACTGGCCTGAGCTGTGATGTTGTAGCTCATAGCTTCTCTTCCTGTCCGTTTTCTTCTCTCCCCCTTCATCTGGAGCAGGTTCCTGTTCTCTTCCTACAGTGTCACTATGACGTGGATGCCAGGATTTCTACCAACTCTGTGTAGCCCAGACAGTCCCAGAACGTGTGATCCCTGACTCATCCTCCCTACTAGCTGGGATTACTGGCCTGAGCTGTGATGTTGTAGCTCATAGCTTCTCTTCCTGTCCGTTTTCTTCTCTCCCCCTTCATCTGGAGCAGGTTCCTGTTCTCTTCCTACAGTGTCACTATGACGTGGATGCCAGGATTTCTACTCTTGTGAATTTATTTATGGATCTGACTTTTCCAGTTCCATGCTTAGATGTGCCATGTTATATTATCATTGAATTTTCAGCTTTATTGAAGTATTATTGACAAAAGTATATACTTAATGTAAAATAATTTTAAAATTCTCTTCAGTCTCCTTAATCATTTATTGATTATCGACAAAATTTTTGCTTTATTTACAAAATGTAGGGACATTATGTAACAGAATCAAGTAAGTCCCTACAATTCCCAGAATCTCGTGGTGGCAGGTGTGGCTAGCAAGATGGGGGTCCACCTGGGGGAAGATCATGTCCCTCAGACACCCCTGAGTCTCCCTCTGTGGAGTGTAGGGCCAGAGTCTTTCTGGGCTGTGAACACTAGGGCAGGGCGCTCCCTGGTCTCAGCTGGGGCTTCCCTGCCTGGGAGGCAGGAGTCTCTTCTGCCCGTCTTGGTGTCATGAAGAACAGCTTCCACCTGGAGGAAGATCACATCCCTCAGACACCCCTGAGTCTCCCTCTGTGGAGTGTAGGGCCAGAGTCTTTCTGGGCTGTGGACACTAGGGCAGGGTGCTCCCTGGTCTCAGCTGGGGATTCCCTGCCTGGGAGGCAGGAGTCTCTTCTGCCCCTGTCTTGGTGTCATGAAGAACAGCTGGGCATAGGTCACGTCCTGTGGGGCCTCAGATGCAGCAGCCTGGAGTGAGAGAGGGTGAGAGGAAGGTAGGTAGGTGCTTGGTGTTGGGGCCCTGTTCCCTGGGGCAGGCAGAACTCACCTGACTGTCCTTCACTTTGCCTTTTACTGCCTTTCTGTCCTTCATGTTCAGTATTTCCTTTGACATGGTGGAAGGAGAGGTGACCTCTGACCTCCTGAATCTGGAAGGTTTCACCTGGGCGTACATCTCTTTCGTGGGGTCTTCCTCAGGCGGGCTCTACAGGAGGGAGAGAGTGAGACAGACGCAGTGTCTCTTGGTTCCTCTGGAGAGCTCCAGCAAGATTTCCTCATACTGGCCTAAATGACAAGTTAGATCTACAATCCATACTGTCCTTCCTCATGGGATCTTCAGGGACTTCCTCCTGAATCTGGAAGGTTTCACCTGGGCGTACATCTCTTTCGTGGGGTCTTCCTCAGGCGGGCTCTACAGGAGGGAGAGAGTGAGACAGACGCAGTGTCTCTTGGTTCCTCTGGAGAGCTCCAGCAAGATTTCCTCATACTGGCCTAAATGACAAGTTAGATCTACAATCCATACTGTCCTTCCTCATGGGATCTTCAGGGACTTCCTGAGGACTTGGGGGTACCTGGCGGCCTCCTTCCTGCATTTCTGACATCTTATCCTGGCTCTCACTCCATTGGCTCCATCTTCATGACAAATCACGTCTCTCATCCAGTTTCTTACCCCCACCCCCGGCTGTGCTCTGCCTGCAGGTGCTGGTCCATTAGGTGTCTTTGTGGGTCTCTGCACCTAGACTTGTTCTCAGAACATGCCTGTCCGGGTGCCCTTTGTAATTCACACTGGCCCCCTCTGCCCCACGCTCCACCCACATTGTGTCATTTCCCTCAAACACTTTGCCTGGCTTCACTCTGCGTTTTAGCACGCTGTCCCTCACAGTTCAGGTTGTC